AAGCAAATATTTTTAAGCTAATAATTTAAAAATCATTAATTAAACAAGGTACATGCATTTGTTTATTATATTTTGCCAAAATAAATCATTTCGTCAATTTCTGGATTTTAGAGTAGACGCAGCTAAACACATGTGGCCGGAGGATCTAAAAGTAATCTACTCTCGAGTGAAAAATCTCAATCCCAAGTATAATTTCCCTTCAGATGCGCGACCTTATGTATTCCAAGAGGTGATTGATTATGGCGGCGAAGCAATCAGTAAATATGAATACAACTCTTTCGGCGCGGTTACGGAATTCCGATACGGTATGGAGCTCAGCAACGCCTTGAACGGAAAGAATAATTTGAAATGGTTTTCCAATTGGGGAGAAGCTTGGGGTTTGTTACCATCTCAGGATGCTCTAGTATTTATTGACAATCATGATACTCAACGTAGCCACTCCGAAATACTTACCTACAAGTCATCGAAGAAATACAAGGCAAGTGATTCTCGAGAATCACTTCTCGAGAGAAGTAGAGAAATTAAAAACAGAAAAACACGGAGACTGAATTACGTCTTTACCTAAATGTCGAATTAATAATAAGTGATATTGCAGATGGCTGTTGCTTTCATGCTGGCACATCCTTATGGAACTGCGCGTATCATGAGTTCCTTCGGTTTTGAGAGTTTTGACGCCAACCCACCGCAAGATTCTAAAGGAAATCTTATATCTCCAACCATCAACTCTGACAATACCTGCGGTAACGGTTGGATCTGCGAGCATCGATGGCGTCAGATTTACAACATGGTGCGCTTCCGAAACGCTGCGAATAATACCGACGTGAACAACTGGTGGGACAATGGCCAGAATCAAATCGCTTTCAGTCGCGGGAACGCGGGTTTCATTGCGATCAATGGTGACGGACATGACTTCAAGCAGCATCTCTTTACTTCTCTGCAGCCTGGTACTTACTGCGACGTTATCTCTGGAAATTTGGAGGATAACAAGTGTACCGGTAAGATCGTAAGAGTAGATCAAAATGGAAAGGCGTATATAGAAATCTTGGCGAATGAGGAAGATGGTGTGCTCGCCATTCATCGACAGGTAAATAATTTTATTTACCGTTAAATTCCTTCAAGCAAAATGTTTCATTTATCTTTATCTTATAACAATTTATATCTAACCATTGAGTATTTTTCTTGAAGAATAACTTGTATTCTAATAAATTTCTTTCATTAATTTTAATTTTATAATTTTTGAAATAATATTTTATTGTAGCTAAAGAATGTTTATAGTAACAAATTTTTTTGTAAACAATAAATTATTAATTTGGATGCTAATAATAACTTATGCCATGTTTGAAGGAATTAAATCATTTTATGTAATAATACATCTTAATTATTTATTATAATGTAACTTTCAAGTTTTAATATAATCAATTTCTTTGCAGGCAAAGGTGGGATGTAGTTGTTGAAGATCAGATTGGAATTAAAAATTGCTTATTGTAAGCATATATTAATATAAAAGGTGTTACATAAAATATGTAGTTTAAAATATGTAGTTAAAAAATATATAGTTTAAGTAGTTGAAAAGAATTCAATTACGTTTGAATAAATTATGTGATCAACTATTTAAAATATGAATTGATTGTGTACTTTAACTTATGAACAAAATATAAGCGTTTGCGTAAATCAATACAATGGAATGTTATTATTCTGTGTTTTTATCCAATTTATGTAATCAAATTCCAGAGAGAACGATGCACTCGTTTATTTTTATCGCTTTATCAAATCCATCGACTGATATATTTGCTATCAAAAAAGATCTTCTAACTCAGCAGCATAATATTTGTAAGAACATAATAATCGGTAAAATTGAATGCGACACAGCTGTTATTTATCAACAATGTTTATTTTAACAGAAACAATGTACTGTTTTTCCTCTTTTCACCATTAATTTCTACTATACATGATATGACAGTTAATCGTAAGATAATACACGACAGACTCGCGATGGAAAAACAAAAAAATATAGTCGAAGGGAGATCGGGTGAGATGGGATGGACACATACCGTAAAGTCGATCGGTTTTGAGGAAGTGAGATATACCGATGGATAAAAAAAAATCTTGAAGTATCACAAAAAAATTGCCTTATCGTCGATTTTATCACCTTTCTCTCTAACTTCTAATCCATGTGTGCGGTTAAATTATCCTTCGCTGAAAGAATCTGTCAGCTCACACTTATCGCTCTAACTCTTTTCTCCCATCCATTCTTCCATTCTTCTCATCGAACGAACATGCTGCACGTAATAATTAATGCGTAACGCTCGTAGTTACCGCATTAATATCGTGTGAACCTCGCGACTAAGATACTAAAATAATAAAATACTACGGGGCATTTGTAGAAGCACGACATAAATAAATGCTTAAGCGTTTATGTACATGTGGTCTTGTTTAAGTAAAAGCCGCTAACTCGGTTATATATAGTGTTTTTTATTGACAGAACTGGTGTACACTCACCGCACATCAAAGCCATTGTACACTAATCTAATATGAATTTATAAGTGAGATATCTTAATTGATAAAATGCCTAATATAAATCTTCTATCAATCATCTTCTATCAAATAGCACAATAAAATATACTTAGGATTTCGCGGATTTTAAGATTTAACTTGTTTTTATATTTTCATTAAATATCTTTACGTCGATTTTTGTACAACGGCTTTAAAGTGCGCACCACAATTTTGCCAATGAAAAACGCTATTAGTGTTAGCGCGCCCGAGTTTATTATATAACAAAAAATGATTTGTTTATTCGAGATAAGAAGAGGTTACCGAATGAGGGCTGCTTGTTAAGCATATCAAACGGAAAGAAATTTTTCCTTACATCACGTTATCATTGTACATATGTACGTCGAAAGTTAGTGTGTAATCGCGAATAAATAATATGCCCGTAAACAAACCTCAATTACCTTTCAATTACCTTTCAATTACCTTTCTGCGTAACATAGAAGCAAGAGTATCGCATGTGATTACAGCATCTAATTACTTATTATTGATAATTTTGTATTACGAATGATTACGAGTATAGTAACAGACTTATGTAATCATGCGAAGGGATTTCCTTCTTTCACCGTCATCTCTCCGATCATTTTCACTAATTAAATAAAAACATTGTACACTTGAACAAATTTTGAAATGCTACAATTTCTAACGTTCTTCTCGCGTTTTCTCTTTATTTTTTTGTTCTTTTTTTTTTCGATAAAAACACAAACTCGGGAGCGCGAACGCAAGTGTAGACATGTTGTTTAGGCGTGTCAAGTGTTATGTATACATGTATATACAATTATAACTTTATATGATCAGCAGTAAATTCAGACTAAATGTTTATATACGCGTGTATATACTTTGTATGTACGTGTGGGTGTTTCTTTGTGTATGTAAATCTAAAAAATACTGCTTGTCTTACGAACCGATTCGTTTGCCACGCACACTTTCTCTCGCTATTGTAAGCGCAGTTTGACGTCATCTCCCTACCACCATTTACATCTTAATCATTACGTGAATACAATAAGGCAAAACGGGTATTATATCTCTAAATAAATAAACGTTTGACGTTGTATGAATCTTGAAGATTAAGAGGGACAAAATAAAAGAGACGCGCTATAATGTACAATTCCTAAAGAGCTACACGGGTCCGTCGCGCGTGAAACTGTCGTCGTCGCACGTGTCAATGTCTGTGTGGATATGTACGTTATTCCTTTTGTATTATGTGTGTATGTGTCTTTCTTTCGTGTATGTGTATGTACGCACGTGGATTTTATTCTTGCATATAGAGCATTAGCAAAAATATAATTTAGTATATTTATTGTAATAATTCTCGTCCATATAAAAAACTTCGTTAAAATATATAAAAGAAACAACGATTTGAGCAAATACATATCTCCTATGGTAGTTAAAAGTTATCGCGTCGAAACGTATATTTATTGTTATTGCACGTAATTCTTCTCGCTGATTATGTATAGATTGTATTCTTTTAGTATATGTATACACACACACATATATATGTATATATATATATATATTACTTACATCCGCTTCACACATTCGCATTTAATCGTTCCGACATATGTACACATAAATGCGTACATTTCACGTACGCCTCCTCTCTTTATTTTTTTTTCTCTTTTCGACATCGAGTTAGTATTTCTTTATTTTATCGACTTTTCGTATGATGTACAGAGGTACGAGTTCGGCCGTTCAGAAAGTCGATCGACGATCAAGATGATCTCAAGTAATCAAAAACAATATGTTCCATCGCGAATCGGAAATTAATCCGATTGATCATTCGACAACGTCGTCTTGGAAGACTTTACGAAGATAGGCACTCTCGTTTGATTTACTATCTATTAGTTATTTCACCTCCCGAAAGAAGAATTCCAAAAATAAAATTAAATAAATTAACTCCATTGTAATGACCGACATAATCTTGAGAGTATTGATATATTTAATAAATTTTCTGTTTTTTTTTTAGTTTACTTTTTTAGTTTACTAAACCTCCAGAGAACTTTCCGAACATAAATACAGAAACAATAAAATGTAGAAATATGTTTATTTGTAGGATTTGGGTCACAAAAATTTTAATTTAATAAAATATTTAAACAAAATTAATATTTAAACAAAAATGTATTCCCGATATATATTTGTCATCGCATGATAGAAAATAATTATAAGTTATACAATGCGAACAAAATATGTCAAAATATGCATTCTTAATTTTCTATTTTTTACAGTGTAAAATATACTATTTAAGTACATACTGAATCCATGATAGAGATCACAAGTTTTAAAATTACTTATTTTTATAAATCCTCACGTAGATCTATGCCGTCGTATTTTTCTTTATATAAATATAATTTCTCAATTTTTGATATTTAAATATAAAAAAAATAAATATTTATATAATTGCTTATCGGTTGATTGTGATTTCTTTTAAATTTTACACAATCCTGTAGGTCGAAAGAAAATAAAATTTTTAACCAAATTATTATTGTTCCATTAAAAATGATTCCGTTGAATCTTTAACCAATAGATTTAACGAAATATAAATTTCAGTAAATAAATACATTCCAGTTCAGGCAATTATTATATATTTACTAATTCTTTAATTATCTTACGTAGATCTATTCTTGCAACGATGTATGTATATACATGTGATTCAGCTAAACTTTCTTTCTTCGACCATCTTTCCTCATAATTGTAACTATTCAATGGTTTCACTCTATCGTTACTATGTATATATGTATATATAGAATTTTCAAAAATATTTCTCTGTTTTTCTATCTAAATATTATTCGTTCAATAATCGAAGACCATACAAAGCTGAATTCTCAATTCTTCTATTTTCAATTTTATCATACGCAATTAATTAACATATCTTCCTGCTGCGTCTAAATTCTACGTAATCCGTCATTACAGTCGAAGCTTATAGTTTCGCTGAACAACAGTTCTTCAGGTCTCTACAGTTTAGGCTTTAGCTTATCCTGATGATCGACGAACGCTCAAAAATATTTTTATTCTCAAGCATTCAGCACTTTACATGCTACATGCTATATAGCTACACCAACCCTTTTTACTCTTTCTTTTTTATATCCTTCAATTCAGTTTCGATTAAAACTCTCGGTTTACGTTCTATCTCTAAAAGTTTTTTCCGGGTACTTAATTATTGACAGGCGGAGTCTCCATGATTTCTGATATATATGAAATCGTCTTCTTCGATTGAACACGTCATTTGCGAGTCACTGTTTGATAGGCTTTTTGAAGACGACTTCTGGTTTGCGTACCGGGCGAGATATACGCCGTTCTATCCTGAGAGCCCGGTTCGGATCCGGAGACGGCGGCGTCGGAGTCACGCCGACTACTGTTGTCTCAGACCCTAATGAAGGAGTCTCCGCCATTGTTTGTCAGTTCCCAGTGCTACTGGGTCGCCGACCCGGCGTTTGCTGTTGTTGTTGTTGCTGTTGTTGCTGTTGTTGCTGCTGTTGCTGCTGCTGCTGCTGCTGCTGCTGCTGTTGTTGCTGTTGCGTTACCGCTGCAGCCGCGGCTGCTGCACTTAACGCCGGTAGCGGCGTTTGGTGACAGTGGGCACAATGCAAGCATACCGTGCAGGCACCGAGTTTCCGAGCCAACATCACACGCAGCTTCAAGGCTGGACCGAGCTTCATACCCATCGTACCTGTCAGGTGGCTTTCCGAGAGCAGCGGTAGTGCTGCGCCGTCTATACGGTGCTCTCGGAAATTCTGCAAGCAAAAATGTAGCAGCATGTTATTAGCGGTATACCTTAAGACGAGCGCAAGAATTTTCATTGGTCTTCAAAATTATTCTAAGAGCGCAGAGTTGAAAATTAAGAAATAAAAAAAATTTGTTTCCTAATACACTGATGATTTGTGTTATAAATCATAAGTACAGTCTTATGTACGTAATGATGTGCTAAAGTTTAACTACGTAAACGTTAATTTTTTTGTCAATGGCTTGAATCTACATTCATGAATGTGCAAAAAGTCAACGGTGATGCTAGATATTATTGGAATTCGCGGCATAAACTAAAACTTTGATTGTGCAAATATATAGAAGAGTAATGTCCGTTCGTTAACGTTACTCTTTTGTATATTCCGGTCCCCAATGCATACCTTCACGTGCGGAACGGGACACGTACGCATGTACCGTCCGCGTCGCGCGTCGACCTCCGACCGGCTCGCGGAATCGCGGCCGAAGATCGTCCTCGCGCGGAATCCCGTAAATTTGTCTCTCACGCGACGACACGATCAACGAAAAGGCAAGCCGCTATTTCCATCGACGTGCAAAAGTCGGGATTGTTTCGCCCGTTGAGAGGAAATCTCGGTAAAAGAGGAAGAAAAGGAGCGGAGGAAGACGCGAGGCGAAGCCCGAAGGCGGACGCAAAGCGGAAAAGGGCAAAGAAAGGAAAAAGAAGATGGAAAAAGCAGAGGATGGAAAAAGCGCGGATGCGTTTCATTCACCGCGCTGGGGGCCGCGCCTCGCGTAATTGCAGCTGCAACGACCACGGGATGCAACGCGCGTGTACGTAAGCGCGATCGCGGACGTCCCTTGCGCGCACCACACGTTCGCGGAATACGGTAATTGCTCGGCCCGCTTATGAATGAAATATTCAGCGCCGTAATGCGAGCCGTACACGCAACGGCAGACCGGTCTCCTTCCTCGCGCATGCCGGGCTCCCTCGTCGAAGGAGGGGATCGGAATCGACGTGGAGATCGAGGCCGTGCATTCATGCCGCTGGGCATTCAGGTCTCTTTTCTCCGTCTCTCTCTCTCTCTCTCTCTCTCTCTCTCTCTCTCTCTTCACTCGTAGAGATAGCGTCTAATTGGTCGGCTTTCGGAAGGTAAGTGCGAGGTTTATTTGTCACCGAACGAAGTGCTTGTCGATCTCTATACTTTACGTATTATACATTCGCAGCACTCCGATGATCGATAATATTGAATGTATTGTAAACGAAAAATTTATATCTGAGTCCTTCAAGTCTAAACAATATGCTAAATTGAATTTAAGTAACAACTTTGAGTAAATTAAGTTTACAACATCGACTCATACAGCACAGACCTCCGAAAAACATTCAAGATCCATATCCTTTGAACGTTTTAAGGAACGTTTCCTAAGAATATCTTTCGGATAAAATATGGGAAGTCTCGTGCATAATAATTATACTAATTTTATGTGTAAGTAATTATTTGTTTCATTTTATGAGTGAAACGATTTTTGCTCATCATCGTCCAACTGGTAATGACACGCGTTGTGAACTCGGAATCCAACAGGTGTTGCATTCATGCCGCTGGGCTGAATGTAGGTGCTCACTGACCGTTTCGCCAAGCGACTTCTAATCTACGATTTATCTACGTGCGCATCGCGCGAAGAAATATCAAGAGAATTCATCGCGCAACAGGGAATCTATACTGCTAGGTGCGAGTCCAGGGATCTCGATGTAACAATGAGGTTCGCATAATCGTCAACAGTAAAACGCGTAGTCATTGATTACGGTAAATAGGCCCCACACTGTTTCGGATTCTCGATGCATTCGCGGTTCTAACGGTACGGAGTCAGGCACGCGCGAGAAAAGCCGCCTCTCTTCACGGTCGCCTCGCGCAAAACGTTAATTAGTTAAGTCATTCACACGCGCAAGAACTGTTCGCACCGTGAAACTGAACTCTGGATGATCACTTCGTCCGGTGCGAGAAAAATCTCAGATTCCCAACTAAACGTATTATTTCAATCCAAAACTAGTCATTAAGAGAAAGAGTAATTTCACATCTCCGTTCGTCCATCACGCTACGAGCGTTCAGTCCGTTCAGTTCGATTCGCGTAACCTTGTAATTGCACTCTAAAGTTATTGTACAATTTATATCGAAACGTATTGAAATTTGTCTGAATTCGTAATCAAGTTGCACATTATAAAAAGACAATTTCTCTATTAGACAGTCTTATTTGACAGCTTATTGATTTCATGTCCTAAAGAGAGAATGGAGTTGAGGGAAGATGACTTATGGACACTCTCTCTCTCTCTTTCTCTCAATTCAGCATATACGTTAAAAAAACGCGTTCACCCACAGCTATATGATAAAGGAAGATGCTTCATTGTTTTCGCGAGGCGAGCAAGCAGTTTCGAAATCTCATGAAACGACCGACGCGGCGTGGCGCGGTATGGCATGGCATAGCATGGCATGGCATGGCATGGCATGGCATGGCATGGCGCAGCGCAGCTGCAGTTGCAGCGAATATATCATCCTCGTGTTGCACCGCGGGCGACCGGGCGCGCACCAAAGGCTGGGTAACGAAGACAACCTATATTTTCTCCACCCAGTTCCAAACTCTTAAGGGCAAACGCGATCTCCCGGCTGGTCCTGCATCAATTATACCTTCCACAAACACGATGTTAGGCCCCCTTGCGAACTCGTCGTGCGTCGACGTAGTGCAAGAAGGCTCGCGAAGATGCGCACCGACTCGGGAGCATGTGTTATTAAATTATTCGCGCGTCACTGTGAACGCGGGAGAGGAAAGAAGGACTGGAGAGGGTTTTTGTTGCCCTCTCCTTAAATTATGCGCGTGGACTTATCAGATATGCCCGCGGGCCAAGAGGCGCGCTAAGCGGAATTTAAATTGGCGAAACATAGAAACATTCGTGTAACGATATAAATGCGCGTTGCGATTTGCGATATTTATTGTGCGTCCTGTGGCCCTTTGCTGAAAATACACGTAGATATCGCATTTAGAGTATTGCAGTGCCGCTTACGTACGCCGTAATCGGACATGATTTACTTTCTTAATTGCTTCGGCTCTTTAGTTTTGCATGTTAATTTGAATAACATTGAATAACATAATTTGAATAACAGTACTGATACGAGAAGCTTAGAAAAGCATGCCATTGACGACAAACAACATAAATTCGACGCTGGTGAATGTCAGTTCATCTCGAGATAAAGAGACTCCGAGAATATCCGCGAGGTTGCATCCGACCGTGACCTGGGAAAAGACGGAGAATTCTCAAAAAATAACGGCTCCTTTCTTGCCGAGCTTGAATCCCCGACCCGAGGAATCTCTTGTAACCTTAAGAGATCACTCAGTTGGAACCACGTCACGTTAAACTACTATACGCAGTGAGTCCAAAGAATTCGTTCTTGGACGCTCGGATGGTTGCTCGTCGAATTTTTTGCACCTGAAGCACGCAGGTGCGGAAGGCAATACGAAAATTAGTGCCTCGATGTCAGATCTCTGCAATTAGCCGTAGCCTTGATAATAATTATAGCAAGTTGTAATGATTATAGTAATTTGAAATTATAATGCTAGTAGTTTTTCAATCAACCGCTAAAAGAGATTACTCATCGTTCGAAGGTGAGTAATGGAATTATAATAAACTGGAGTACATAATATTGAGGTAACATCTGTTACACCCGTTTGGCTTACATCCATTTCTACAGCTGTTAATCTATCGATTAAATTGACATAGGTCGGAATTGGCGCATAAATTACCTACGTTATATAACTCATGCATATCAAGTATCACGATCCTTCGGGCTAATATTTGTGAACGAAATCTTAAATTTCTTAAAAGTCGGGGATCATCATCAGGGACACAATATTTATAGCGCAAAATATTTCTTTCTCTTTTTAATTATTCAACGGCATTAAGTCATCGCGCAACATCATTCCAGGACAAGCTCTTAACAGTCCTCTGCAATAAAAGTCGCGTCCGTTTCATAGCTACTTCTGACTGTCTCAGTCATTATTACACCTGTCGTGTTACGAAATGGCAGATAGATATAAGCCACGTTTCAGGATAGCTTCAAACGGTTCTGTCGCATGCGCAACTATAAGCATCTGCGGATGACTTTTACGTTAAAAGCCTTTCCTATAATTATTGCAACTCTTGTATGAATAAATGTATTTTCAAGTTTCGTAACAAGAATTAGTTTAGTAAATCGAGATTTTTAATTGATCATATCATTAATTATCGTTTAAATTGAAAACAGGATTTCATCGAGAGATACTACTCGACTCCCATGAATAGAATCTAATTAGAACCAGATTGGTAGTTGCTATTGTTCCTACTTATCACCTCCCTTTGTATGACCCTGTGGAAATTACAATACCGTACGGCATTGTGTTTCAACTTTAACCCACCATTCTTTTAACACGTTGAATTACATATTACATGTGTATCTCACCTACGCATCGTTGGTGTAGTAAGACACATTGCTGCCGAATGGATACCGAACAATTGCGGAGCAGGCTGTCACACAAATAACGAAACGTTAACCAATAAAAGCGAGTGCGCGCTGCAACTTTTGTTGGTTGCTACCGAGAAGATCTTTTGAGCTGCTGCGATCCTCCCAAGATCCCTTATATGGAAGAACGGCGCTCGCGCGAAGGGCAAAGCACGGCAGCAATCGCGCGGTGAATTCTGCACGAGGACGTACCGAGGTTAAGAATTTGCGTCGGCGGGCTCGCGCTAGAAATTCCACACACGTGTTTTCGTTCCACCGTGCGACCTCGCAAGGAATTGTTCCGTGAGAAAGGACGATGCCGCCGGTGTATCAACAAGGTGCGCGCGTAAGAACCATCGATTCGCGTCGCACCGACACGCCGTAATCGATCAACAAGCATGAACATTGTCTCCCGCGATGAACAAGTTCATGGATCGACTGGTGTTATGTACATTACATAATCCATTCACGGCTGCAGTTGAAGATCACACGGCGGAAGTTTAATCAAC